GGCTGAGGCAGGAGAATCGCTTGAACCCAGGAGGTGGAGGTTACAGTGAGCCAAGATTGCGCCATTGCACTCCAGCCTGGGCAACAAGAGTGAAACTTCATCTCAAAAAAAAAGGTAAATTGATTTTCTTTGCGTTTCAGATACGTCGGTAACCTTTCCAGGGATGTGACAGAAGCTTTAATTCTGCAACTCTTTAGCCAGATTGGACCTTGTAAAAACTGCAAAATGATTATGGATGTAAGGGTATTTTACTTAGTTAACTTTATTCCTTTTTTTTTTTTTTTTTTTTTTTAACTATCTCCAGTAATGGGTATAAGCAATCTTTTTTTTTTTTTTTTTTTTTTTAAACACATTACTTAAAGCCATTGCTTGGAAGGAATTCTTAGTTTACTATAGTCTAAATATAGTATAAATTCTTACGTTACCATGGTCTAAATTAATAGGGAATTTAGTGAATTTGTAATGAACCCGTTTTGACAGCTGAATTTAGTTTGTTTTACTAAATAATGGAAGATGGGAATAGAACTAGTCATTTCTAGGTCAGATGGGAACTATGTATATGTGGGCTGTTTCAGGTGCATTGAGGCATTAGAAATGTTTATTTTATATGTAGTGTCAATTGGTTGGCTAATAAATTCAGCTGTTAAAATTAAATTGGGAAACAGGTTTAAAAGTAATAGGCATTTGATACAGTGAAGCTGTTTTTAACTTTATTTTTAAAGGTCATGATTCAAGTTTTTCTTGTATTTAGGCAGTTCCTATTTATGAGACCTTAATGTATTAAAACACACACACATATTGAACTCATTCATCTAATTGTTGTTAACCCAAATCATAATATGTATAAAAAGACATTTCGGGAACACTGACCCCACTTCCCTTGAGTCTGTGTCTCCTGGGGGGAAAAATACTTAATTTTTTGTTGTTGTTGTTTTTTGTTTTTGAGATGGAGTTTTGCTCTTGTTGCCCAGGCTGGAGTGCAAAGTGGTGCGATCTTGGCTCGCTGCAACCTCCACCTCCTGGGTCTAAGCAATTCTCCTGCTTTAGCCTCCCGAGTAGCTGGGATTACAGTCATTTGCCACCACACCCAGCTAATTTTGTATTTTTAGTGGAGATGGGGTTTTTCCATGTTGATCAGGCTGGTCTTAAACTCCCGACCTCAGGTGATCGGCCTGTCTTGGGCTTCCAAAGTGCTGGAATTACAGGCGTGAGCCACCGTGCCTGGCTGGGAAGATAATTTTTTAAAGGCTCTGAGCAAGCAAAAAATTGTTGTCAGAAAGTTCACATTCTAAAACCTAAAGTTTTACTTACCCGAGAGTCTCTTCACTTTTCAGAGCCTATTTACCTATATTTGAAAAACAGGTTTAAGAAGATTGGCTAAGATTTTCTGCTACTCAGCAAACCAGAAGCAGCAAGGAGCTGTGTACATTTGTAGCAGTAAAAAGTAGCATATAACAGGGAGGGGATAGAAAATCGTGAAAAGCCAAAGTGAGACTTCAGAACCTAGGAGTCTGATCAAACTTAATCTGTATAGCTTGAAGAAATGGTTATATGATGATGGGGAGAAAATATCTCTATTTATAGCTATAAATATATCTCTGTTACAGCTATATTTATATCCAGTTAGGACACCTGGTCATTAATATTAAATTATAATAGTATAGTATAACTTGTTGAAGAAAATAGCTTCCTGTAAAGCAGCATGATTTCTAAGTGGTTGCTTTTTTTTTCTTTCTACTTTTTAATTATTTTAGAGACAGGATCTTGCTGTGTTGCCCAGGCTGGATTCAAACTCCTGGGCTCAAGCGCTCCTCCCACCTCAGCCTCCTGAAGTAGCTAGGACTACAGTAGCTCTCCACTAGGCCTGGCTGTTTACTTTTTTTAATCCAAAATTCACTTGTGGAATGGACCATTCATTCTCCATGGCCTGATAATTTAGAGCTATAAAACTTGGTTTAAAATTTTTTTTACGTAATTTTAAGCTAATGAGAGAATAAAGCTTAAAATTGGCTTTTGTGTTTCTTCTCCTACAGACAGCTGGAAATGATCCCTATTGTTTTGTGGAGTTTCATGAGCATCGTCATGCAGCTGCAGCATTAGCTGCTATGAATGGACGGAAGATAATGGGTAAGGTAAGCTGTCATAATTAAAGAAGGTGATTGCACTGAAAAAAATTATGATTTTATTTCCTTTTTAGAAACATTAAGTCCTTTTTTTTTTTAATTTTGAGATGGGGTTATGGGGTTTCACTCTTGTTGCCCAAGCTGGAGTGCTATGGTGCAATCTCGGCTCACCACAACCTCTGCCTCCTGGGTTCAAGCAATTCTCCTGCCTCAGTCTCCTGAGTAGCTGGGATTATAGGCGCCTGCCACTACAACCAGCTAATTTTTTGTATTTTTAGTAGAAACAGGGTTTTACCATGTTATCCAGGCAGGTCTTGAACTCCTAACCTCAGGTGATTCCTCCCACCGCGGCCTCCCAAAGTGCTGGGATTACAGGTGTGAGCCACCATACCCAGCTGAAACATTAGACACTTTATAGCGAAAAGGTCAGTTATTCACATTTAATATTAAAAAGATGTGATAATGCTTTTAGAGGCAGAGCCCTGTGTTTATGTCAATATTTTCTTTCTTTCTTTTCTTTTTTTTTTTTTTTGAAGATAGGGTTTCACAAGGTTGGTCAGGCTAGTCTTGAACTCCTGACCTCAGGTGATCCACCCACCTTGGCCTCCAAAGTGCTTGGATTACAGGCGTGAGCCACCACGCCTCGCCTTCTTTTTTTTTTTTTTTTTTTTGGAGATGGAATGTTGCTCTGTCACCCAGGCTAGAGTGCAATGGTGCCATCTCAGCTGACTGCAACCTCCACTTCCTGGGTTCAAGCAGTTCTTCCATCTCAGTCTCCGTGATAGCTGGGATTACAGGCACCTACCATCATGCCTAACTAATTTTTGTATTTTTGTAAAGACAGGGTTTCATTATGATGACCAGGTTGGTCTTGAACTCCTGACCTCAGGTGATCCACCTGCCTTGGCCTCGCAAAGTGCTGATATTACAGGCATGAGCCACTGGCCTGTGTTAGTATTATGGTAAATACTAAAATATTTGCTGAATTACTCAAAGTTTGGATGCTAATGGAAAAGAATCAAAGAAAAAAATAACATTGGTACTTTTAGGTAAAAAAAGGTTAATTGAATGTTAACAGACATAGAAAGATTAAGATTTGTCAACATTATTTATTTGCCTAAATGTAGTTCAGAATGTAAGTATTGAAACTGGACCAGAGCTGGTATCTCCTTTAGTGTTTTATCTTAAACAAATAACTTTCTACATGTTTATAGATGCAAATACGATTTTGGGCTTTATTTTTATGAAGTATAAATGTAGAAAATTTTTTTTAGGAAGTCAAAGTGAATTGGGCAACAACCCCCAGCAGTCAAAAGAAAGATACAAGCAGTAAGTATATTTTATGCTTTTTGAACATTTGTTTTTATTATACCCAGTAGTTTTATTGTAAAGCCTATAAACATCGTACATGTTTGCAGTAATGTTTTGATCGTTATCCTAAGATATGATTGAATGTGTTTGTGTTAATAAATTTAAGAACAAATCTAATCTTTGTCATCAGGTAGTACCGTTGTCAGCACACAGCGTTCACAAGGTAATTGTATCTTCTTAAACATAAAATGAAATCTCTTGAAAGGGTATTCACTAACCACCTGAATTTTTTTTGTTTGATATTTGGGGGAGGGAGGGTGGGAGGAGATAGTATTTCTATTTGTCTCTCTAGCAATATTTTTCTCACTTCTTCTCAGTGTTGACCAAGTATAGCTTGTCCACTACTTTGGTGCTAGTTCAAGCTTTCTGACCCCTTTGGTAGCAGCTGATGCCTTAGGACTACTTTCACCAACTAAAGGGCAAGATACCCTGCTTTCTTGAGGTCACCATCTGGGCTTCATACCCAGATCTTCCAAATGCTTGAGTTGCTCCTCAAATTTTGTTTCCCAAAGAGCAATCCAAAATGTTGTTTAAGGCCTGTCAAATATGGTTAACTTTTCTTTCCAAATATGCTTTGTCAGATTTATGTGTGTGTCCATTTTAAAGTGTTGGTCCAACAATTTTGCATTTTTAAAGTGTTTCTTTTTTTAATAATTGTCTTTTTTAAAAATTCAGATATGAGATGGTTATTTCTCTCCAATGCTTTTTTAATGGTTCTGATATAAAGTGAAGGGATTACTGTTTTCATTCTGTTGCCTTCAGTCTTAGTTCACTTGCACATGGATTCACATAAACTGAATGGTGTAATGTCTGGGCAACCAAAACTGTTGGCTTTTGAGAAAACTGTCAAATACTTTAACATCAAACTGTTGCAATGCAAGGTATTTCTTTGATTGTTCTTCACAAACTATGGTTAAACCAAGTATATATCATGTAGCTAGCTTCAGTAAATTGTGTTAACTGAGGCAAATCTAGTCTACATAATTCCCAGTACCACTATTTTATTTTAATTTGTAAAGCCTTAATATAGTGGTAAACTGAATAAAAGTACATTATTATTATTAGAATGGTAACTAAGTCATTAAATTTTTTGCAGAACTGAAACTTGTGTATTATTAGTTTATTTTCTTAGACCAGTATAATAATTGACTGTAAATAGAAATATAAATGTCACTTCCAGTTAGATGTATCAGTCTTTTCAGGAGAATTTTTCTTATATTGTTACCTTGACTCATTGTTAAAAGTTGTTAGGATTTGTATAGATACAGGATAGTGTTTTGTTAATACTTTATCATAAGTCATAATCATTTTAAGAATACTTTATTGGATAGATTTTAGTGCTTTTTAAATTCTAAAGTTCTATTTTTCTTTTCACTTCCCCTTCCTTCCCCTTATAAGATCATTTCCATGTCTTTGTTGGTGATCTCAGTCCAGAAATTACAACTGAAGATATAAAAGCTGCTTTTGCACCATTTGGAAGAATATCGTAAGTAACAGAAGATAAATAAAATCTTTTAAATTAGAAACAATTATATGTAGAGATAACTTGAAAATACTTTTAGTATGAATTTTTTGTATTAATTTATAATGTATTACATTGTTTAGAGGTCATTCAAGAAGTTAACAGCAAAAGATTGTTTTCCCATTGATGAATAAACCTTTGGTTTTCAATTGTCTTAAAATCCTTTTTTAGTTAGCCTAGCTTTTAAGAGACAAATTTGCCATTGTACATTTTATAGTTTCTTATATAGGTGTCAAGTTAGCTTGGTGATAATCTTTAGTTAAAACTGTGCTGTGACTAAGGAATTTAGATCCATTGGGCACGTCTATGATACCATGCATTTTGTGTTAATATATTTTAACAAAAAGAAACTTTAACAATTCAACCTAAAAAGCAGTTAATAAATGTTATTTCCTAGGTATTTGCACCCTTTTAAAAAAAACTGCTAACGATAATAGTGCCTTGTAGTATTTTATGAAGCACTGCCTTGCTTGCACTTGTTATTAATCATACATTTTAGGCCCTTATGAATAAATAACCTTACTTGATATACTATTCATCATAGAAGAACTTTAAAATTTTGAAAAGCATGCCATATTAGAGTTAGAATAATAAGTTGTTTATGGTACTTTCTGTGGAGTAATTATTTAGTTTAGAAAACTTCTTCAGGATTTCCGGTTGCTATATTATTTTTCTACCTAGAAGAGTACTAAAAAGGCAATGCTATCTGTGGTTTAGTTTGAACAGACCAACAGCAGAGATGAGATGAGATGAGATGAGATGAGGAGACTGGAAAGTAAATGCCAGTAGCATTGGTGATGAATTTTGGGAGTTTTCATTTGAAGAGTTATAGTTTGTTGATTAGTGGATGACAGTGCATGTGACCAAGGAATGGCCAGCTTTAAAGGCAGTCACAGAATTAGGGCTTATCAATGGAATTATTTCAGATGACATTTTTCTTTGTGAGACCTGATTAGGAAAATAAGTACAGCTTTTCTTTCTGATTGTTCCTCTTAATAATGTCTTAGAGTTTCAATAATAATTAGCTTGCTTTCAAATACCTAGACTTAGACAGTCTTATCCTTTGGCCTCTCAAGGGCTGTAAATCTCTATGCAAATATTTGTGTTTTCATTTTGATGTGGAAAGTCTTTGTAAATTTCATCCCATTGTCAGAATAGTCACAGGACCATAAAAAGATAAAGAAGCCTGATCTAGATCTTTGCTGCTGCTTCTCTGGAGAATGTTTTCAGAGAGAAGTAAATATGAATTGAACATTTTTCAAGGTTAACATTTCCTTAAACTTTAAGAAGAAAAACTTTCTAACATTGTGAACAGATTAAGTAGCTTTTCAATTAAATGCTTTTATTTCGATTGAGGTAGTTTTTTTGAAAACCTGGGAATTTTAGTTTGGGATTAGGCAAAGATTGTTTAACAGTTGGTGAGTTTAAGTTAAGTGACCTTCAAATTTTAGCAATTTCATGATTTACAAATCATGGTCATAATTTATTTTTCTTAAGTATGTTTCTGTATCATATTTTTAGTCTGTAGATTTTCTTATGGTCCCATGATTATTGATGTAGACTTTTTTTTTCTTAGTGAAACCTTTAAGTTTTATGATTTTCAATTGAGATAATGTATAATGTTTTAGTTTTAGGCTGTACGAGGAGTTAGCTTTCCTACATTTTAAAGGAATCATTTGGCAGTCAGCATATTTTCCTGATTTTTTGTTGTTAAAAGAGATAAGTTGATAACTGTATGTTGAAGGGTTCCCATGATAGATATTTTCTTAAAAGTGCAAATATCAGTGCTTGATTTATAGATATGTAATAAACAGTGGTCTGTAAAAGCGTTTAGTATAAAAAATATGGTAGTTTCCCTTATATACAGCTTATGAACTCTTCTGTTCCCTGAGTTTAGAGTAGACTAATAAATTACGGTGTAGAAGAGAGTCAGCTACCAAATTAAATGCATGTGTACCATACAGATAATTTATTAAGTATTTTTGCATATTGAGAATTGACTTACATTAGTTTTCCCTTTTCACCACCACATCTTTGTCATTTTGACCCTGAACACTTAATAAATCACTCAATTTGATCTAAAATATGCTTATGTATACTTTAATAGAAAATTACATTGCATGGCTTTCTGACTTGGGTTTTTGTTATAAAAGTGCCTGTTTTGTTCATGTGTCCTAAGAGAGCAAGCATTATGACATACCAGACTAACTTAAAAGCAGATTGCCTGTGAAGCACAATTTGAGTCCAATTTTTTGAGGTATGGAGTTTTAGCTATCATGGCTGGGTTTTTACTCAATCTCAAATAATAGGGCTCTGGTTATTTTGCAGAGTGTCTCTGAAGAATGGACAGAATTGCCCTGGCTAACTACAAGCTACGGTTCACAGTGGATAAATGTTGGCGTGCTTTTTTACTTTCTGACTTTTTAAAATTTTGCTTTTATATCTTGTAGTTCCAATCAATTTTATATGAATGCTATTATAAAATTCAGTGTAAAATCTTTTCTTGTATAGTTTAAAACTTGTGTTTGTCTAGTATTTTTCTTCAATGATTTAACATTTCTAAAAATGTCAAGTTCTCAAAATTTACTCTAGTCAAAAAGGGGGGTATAAGTTGATCTGAAAAAATGAAATAATTTAATTAGTTTAGGGAATATACAACTTTTTTATTCTTTTGGTTTCCAGTTTTCTATTTTTTTTTTAATTAGAAGGTAGAATATAATGTCAAATAAATTATAAATTGCATGGTTAAAGAAAGCCATTCATCTAATATCCTGTGAACTTTATAAATGTTTAAGTAGTTCATGTGAGTAGCTGCTTTCACCATGCTTAATATTTAAAAGTTTAAAAAGTTTTTTGGAGAGGCAATTTCTGTACAATGTACATATGCATATATACTTAAGAAGTTACTGATTTGCATGTCTGTAAAATTAAGCCTCATTTCCTAATACGTGATAAATTTTGTAGAATAAAAGGTGAATTTGCATTAAAGGTTCACTTTAATGAAGGTGAAACATGATAATCAGTTGTGTGTGAAATTCTCATTTTATATCCAGAGGACAGTTTGCAAACCTAAACTTCTGATTGTTTCTGATTTCAGAGATGCCCGAGTGGTAAAAGACATGGCAACAGGAAAGTCTAAGGGATATGGCTTTGTCTCCTTTTTCAACAAATGGGTGAGCTCAATCAGAAGTGCATGTACAATGCTTAAACAGTAAAGAATGGAAACACTCAGTTTTAATTATTAATCTTTCTTTCATCTGCTGTTTATTTTACTGATAATTAAAATAAATCCTCACTAGAAGATATCTTCTTCTGTTTTGTCTATTTAACATTTATTAGCACCTGCTGATTCATGCAGAGTACTGATGTTTTCAGGATATAGGAAGTAAAGTTGTTTAAATTATCAGCCAAAGGAAGATGTTGAAAATCTCATTTATGGACTTAATTCATTATCTCCCTCGTTTATATTCCCATGGTAATTTAAAAGTAGCTAATAAAATACTGTGATGAGGCCAGGCGCAGTGGCTCATGCCTGTAATCCCAGCACTCTGGGATCCCAAGGCAGGCGGATCACCTGAGATCAGGAGTTTGAGACCAGCCTGACCAATATAGTAAAACCTGTCTCTACTAAAAATACAAAAATTTGGGGTGCCTGTAGGCCCAGCTACCAGGGAGGCTGAAGCAGGAGAATTGCTTGAACCCAGGAGGCAGAGGTTGCAGTGAGTTGAAATCATGCCACAGCATAGCCTGGGCAACAGAGTGAGACCCTAACTCAAAAAAAATAATTAAAATACTGTGATGGGTACAAACTTTTTTAAAATAATTAAATATTAGCCGGGCACAGTGGTTTATGCCTGTAATCTCAGCACTTTGGGAGGCTGAGAAGTTTGAGATAAGCCCTGCCAGTATAGTGAGACCCTATGTCTACAAAATATATGTTCATTTATTTGTTTATTTATTTATTTATTTCGGAAATTCCGAAAATTCGGCTGTGCCCAGTGGCTTACACCCGTAATCCTATTATCCCAGCACATTGGGAGGCCAGAGTGGGTGGATTACTTGAGGTCAGGAGTTCAAGACCAGCCTGGACAACATGGCAAAACTCCATCTCTACAAAAAATTAGTTGGGCTTGGTGACGCATGCCTGTAGTCCCAGCTACTTGTGGGACTGAGGTCAGAGGCTTACTTAAACCCAAGAGGTCAAAGCTGCAGTGAGCCGTGATCAAACCACTGCACTCCAGCCTGGGTGAAAAAGTGAGACCCTGTCTTAAGAAAAAAAAAAAAAGTTGAAAATGATAAAGTAATTAATTAGTTGAAACCCCATCTCTACTAAAAATACAAAAAATTAGCTGGGCATGGTGGCATATGCCTGTAATCCCAGCTACTCAGGAGGCTGAGACAGCAGAATTGCCTGAACCCAGGAGGCGGAGGTTGCAGTGAGCCGAGATTGCACCATTGCACTCCAGCCTGGGTAACAAGAGCGAAACTCCGTCTCAAAAAAAAAAAAGAAAGAAAGAAAATGATAAAGTATATTGAGAGGTGAAATAAAAGCTCAATCATGTACATGTCCCATCTACCAATTAAAAGATTATTATTTTCCTGTGAGATGAGAAAATAAAAATTAAAACAATTTAGTAGCTTCTGAAAACTTTACTATTAATCACAGTATATAGTATTTTAGAAAGGTAGAAAAATGCCTTGTACACCGGATTGATAGCCATGATTAATTTGAGTTCCTTATTTGAGTTCCTCATAGATTTTTAGAATGTTTTAGTGCAACTTAGGGAAATAAGTTGGGGGTTTGGTGGGCTAGGATTTAATTTTTCACATTTTTGAAATTATGAGCTATAGGGTTCTGCTATATAAAAGTCACTATGGAATCTGTATTTAGTATGAACTAGAGTCAAATAGCAAAGGTTGCCTATTGATACCTATGTCCAGCCTCTGGAGTTAGCCAGAGATGTATGCAAATTCTGACAACCATTATGAAACAGTTGCTAACTTTGAGTAAATAATATAAGCTATAAATTTCAACTTCTGTAAAATTTGTGATATGTGCTTGGCTCTGTTACGCCGTGCTACCGCCTTGATTGTAATTACCCACCAGCCTTCCTATGTTCTACATGCTAGGAAAACCACAATTCTGATTGAACTTAGCTTCTCTGCCTACCCCAGAATAACTGAATGTTGTTGGAAAACAACTGAGTTCAAGTGTGGTTTTGCTTCTAATTTAATAGTCACACGTTGTAGATGAGTACAGAGTACTATCTAGGCAATCATGTTTTTGTCTAATATATTTGATTTCCCATAGTTTGTGATGACCATTTTATTCCTCACTGCTCCATCTCTTCAGATACCCTCCCTTCTTCCTCCGTCATTACCCTAAGCTAACACCTTTATCTCATGCTTCACTGATAAAAAAAAAAAAGAGAGAGACTATCAAACAAGAATTTCATCATCTTTCAACCACCAAACTTAGATAAAATTCATCCACTTTCCCATTATTCCTTCTATTATAGTACAGGAAAGGTCCTTCCTGTCAAAGGCCAAATCACTTATGATTGTGTCCCCACCTTTCTTGTCTTTTCAAGGACTTTGAGCCTGTGCTGTCACTGCTTTGTTTTAACAGCAGCTTTATTGAGATATAATTTAAGTACACAGTGTGGTTGGCCACAGTGGCTCACACCTGTAATCCCTGCACTTTGGGAGACTAAGGTAGGCAGATTACTTGAGCCCAGGAGTTTGAAAGCAGCCTTCTCTATAAAAAAATACAAAAATTAGCCAGGCATGGTGGCTCACATCTGTAGTCCCAGTTACTTGAGAGGCTAATGTGGGGAAATCACCTGAGCCCAGGAAGTTGAGGTTCCAGTGAGCTGAGATTGCACCACTGCACTCCAGCCTGGGCGACAGAGTGAGATCCTGTCTCAAAAATAAATAAATAAATGAAGTGTACAATTCAGTGGTTTTTAGGTAATTTATAGAATTGTGCAACTATCACCAAAATCAATTTTAGGATATTTAATAAATAAATAAAATGTACAATTCAGTGGTTTTACAGAACTGTGCAACTGTCACCAAAATCAATTTTAGAATATTTTTACCATCCCAAAAAGAAGCTGCATGACTCATTAGCAGTCACTATCATTTTCCTTTAATGCCCCTCTTGCCAGCCCTGAGCAACTGTCAATCTACTGACTATAGATTTCCCTGTACTCAACATTTCCTATAAATGGAATCATATAATATATACTGTTATTTTTATTACTATCCTGTGTCATCACTCTATTCCTTCTCCACTGGATGATTCTCATCAACCAAAAAACACCTAGTATCTCTCTTTTTTATTATTTTATGAATTTTGTTGAACCCGAGCAGTAATAGATTTTTTTTTTTTTTTTTTTTTTTTTGAGACGGAGTTCTGCTCTTGTTACCCAGGTTGGACTGCAATGGCACGATCCCGGCTCACCGCAACCTCCGCCTCCTGGGTTCAGGCAATTCTCCTGCCTCAGCCTCCTGAGTAGCTGGGATTACAGGCACGTGCCACCATGCCCAGCTAATTTTTTGTATTTTTTAGTAGAGACAGGGTTTCACCATGTTGACCAGGATGGTCTCGATCTCTTGACCTCGTGATCCACCCGCCTTGGCCTCCCAAAGTGCTGGGATTACAGGCTTGAGCCACCGCGCCCGGCTTTTTTTTTTTTTTTTTTTTTTTTTTTGAGACGGAGTTTCGCTCTTGTTACACAGACTGGAGTGCAATGGTGCGATCTTGGCTCACCACAACCTCTGCCTCCTGGGTTCAGGCAATTCTCCTGCCTCAGCCTCCTGAGTACCTGGGATTACAGGCATGCGCCACCACGCCCAGCTAATTTTTTGTATTTTGAGTAGAGACGGGGTTTCACCATGTTGACCAGGATGGTCTCGATCTCTTGACCTCGTGATCCACCCGCCTCGGCCTCCCAAAGTGCTGGGATTACAGGCGTGAGCCACCACACACAGCCTTTTTTTTTGAGACAATGTCTCACTCTGTCACTCAGGCTGGAGTGCAGAGGTGTGATCACAGCTCACCGAAGCCTCAGAACTCCTGGGGTCAAGCCATCCTCCTGCCTCAGCCTCCAGAGTAGCTGGGACCACAGGTGTACGCCACCATGCCCACATAATTTATTTAAAAAAAAAAAAAAGAAAAAAGGCCATGTACAGTGCTCACACTGATAATCCCAACACTTTGGGAGACTGATGCAGGCGGATCACAAGGTCAGGAGTTTGAGACCAGCCTGACCAACGTGGTGAAACCCTGTCTGTACTAAAAAGACAAAAATTAGCCAGGCATGGTGGTGCACACCTGTAATCCCAGCTACTCAGGAGGATGAAGCAGGAGAATTCCTTGAACCTGAGGCAGAAAACAAAACAAAAAAAATTTTTTTTTGTAGGAACAATCTGAGTTTGTTGCCCAGGCTGGTCTCAAATTCCTGGCTTCCACCAGTCCCTACGGCCTTGGCCTACCGAAGTGCTGGGATTATAGGCACAAGCCACTGTCCCTGACCATCTAGTACCTCTTAATCAAAACCACTCTTTTTTTTTGAAATGAAGTCTCACTCTTGTTGCCGAGGCTGGAGTGCAGTGACACGATCTCGGCTCACTGCAACCTCCGCTCCCAGGTTCAAGCAATTCTCCTGCCTCAGCCTCCCAAGTAGCTGGGATTACAGGATTATGCCACCATACCCAGCTAATTTTTTGTATTTTTAGTGGAGACAGGGTCTGTTCACATTGGTCAGGCTAGTCTTGAACATCCGACCTCAGGCGATCCGCCCACTTGGCCTCTCAAAGTGCTGGAATTACAAGTGTGAGCTACCACGCCTGACCTCAAAACCACTCTTTATTCTTACATCTCTTCCCTACCTGTATCCCCATTTCTCTGCTGTAATTCTCAAGAGTTGTTTCACTTTATTCATAACCACCAACAGACATATATATTATATGTTTTTTTTTCTACTTTTTTGAGTGAGTAGTTTTATTTTTTTCCTGAGGAGCTGTATCAAAGTATCATAAACTAGATGGCTTAGGGGAACAAAAATTTATTTTCTCAAAGTTTTGGAGGTGTGAAATTCAAAACCAAGGTGTCAGCATGTTCATGCTGTCTTGACGGCTCTGGAAGAATCCTTTGTTGCTTCTAAGCTTTTGATGGTTACTGGTAATCCTTGCCATTCTTTGTCTTGTAGCTATATAACTCCAGTCTCTGCCTTCGTCTTCACATAACCATCTTCCCTCTTTGTATATCCATGTAATCGTGGTTTTTTTTTTGAGAGAGAGAGAGGGGGTCTCACTGTGCAGCCTTAGGTGATTTTCCCTTCTCAGCCTCCCGAGTAGGTGATACTACAGGTGTACACCACTATGCCTAACTGATTTTCATATTTTTTGTAGAGACAGGGTTTTGCCATGTTGGCCAGGCTGGTCTTGAACTCCTGGGCTCAAGTGATCCACCTGCCTCAGCCTCCCAAAGTGCTGGAATTATAAGCGTGAGCCACCGTGCCCAGTCTAATCTTTACCTCTTACAAGGACTTCAGTCACTGGATGTGGAACCCACCTTAATCCAGTATAACTTCATCTTAATTACTTCTGCAAAGACCCTGTTTCCAAGTAAGGCCACATTCACAGATACCAGGGTGTAGGACTTATCATTTTGAGGGACACAGTTCAACACATAACATCAGTTAAGCATCTCATGGAGTTCTGACTGGTTAGTGTTGATAATATTTGTTTCTTTTTAAGTGTGCATTTCTGGCCGGGCTCAGTGGCTCATGCCTGTAATCCTAGCACTTTGGGAGGCCAAGGTAGATGGATCACTTGAGTTCAGGAGTTTGAAACCAACCTGGCCAACATGGTGAAACCTCGTCTCTACTAAAAATACAAAAGATTAGCCAGGCATGGTAGTGGATGCCTGTAATCCCAACTACTTGGGAGGCTGAGACAGGAGAATCACTTGAACCCAGGAGGCGGAGGTTGCAGTGAGCCGAAATCATGCCATTGCACTCCAGCCTGGGCAACAGTGTGAGACTCCATCTCAATAAAAAAAGAGAATATGTAATGTGTGTTTCCTGCCAGGCACAGTAGCTCATGCCTGTAATAACAGAACGTTGGGAGGCCAAGGCAGGAGGATTGCTTGAGTCCAGGCGTTAGAGACAAGCCTGGGCAACATAATGGAGACCCTGTCTCCATTTGAAAAAAAAAAAAGGCCGGGCGCGGTGGCTCAAGCTTGTAATCCCAGCACTTTGGGAGCCCGAGGCAGGTGGATCATGAGGTCAAGAGATCAAGACCATCCTGGTCAACATGGTGAAACCCCGTCTCTACTAAAAATACAAAAAATTAGCTGGGCATGGTGGCACGTGCCTGTAATCCCAGCTACTCAGGAGGCTGAGGCAGGTGAATTGCCTGAACCCAGGAGGCGGAGGTTGCGGTGAGCCGAGATCGTGCCATTGTACTCCAGCCTGGGTAACAAGAGCGAAACTCCGTCTCAAAAAAAAAAAAAAAAAAGCCTGGCTACCTAGTCTGTGGACACCAAATCTCCTCCCATTGTCTGTTGCAACCAGTTAAGGCCATTCCTACCACAGTCAAAAAAAAAAAATAGCCAGGCGTGTTGGTGCATGCTTATAGTCCTTAGCTACCAGGAGGCTGAAGTGGGAGTATCACTTGAGCCCAGGAATTCAAGGCTACAGTAAGCTATGATCTTACAGAATAGGGTCTTACAGAATAAGACCCTATTCAGTTTTTTTTTTTTTTAAGTATTTCCTTTTCATATCTCAAGAAAGGCCTTAAATTTGTCTGTTCCTTCAATAGTAGGTTAAACTTATCTTAGATGTGTGTGCACAAAAGTTACATCTCATTTACTTTTGAGTCTACTCTAAGCTGGTTTTTACTCTCACTTTCTACCAATGCTACTCTGTTTTCAAGGTCACCTCTTAACCTTTTTTCTTGGCTCCCTTGACCATACTCTTGTGGGTTTCTTACTTCGTCACTGGCTGCTCCTCCTTTGTCACCTTAGCTAGTGATTATTCCTTTACCCATGTTTCAATTTTTGCTGTTTTTCAGGGCTCTGTCCTAGGCCCTTTCTCTAGTCTGCAGGAATTTTGTCTCTTCAGTCTATTTCTCTGTTCCACACTTACTAACAAATGGTCTTCATTTATATGTCTTCAAACTTTTTAAAGTTATCTTTATTCCCTTGCTACCCATTACCCTAAGCCATTCTCCTTTTACCACTAAGAATGGCCTTAAAACATAGATCATGACGATTCCTTGCTTAAACTCTTTCAAGTTCATTCTCTGACTTTCTTTTTTGCTCACTAGGTTCCATTGAAACTAGTTTTCCCTCACATGCTTCTTTTAGATGCATACTAAACTCTTCCGTGCTTTAACACACTTTGGAATACCTTTCTCTCCCCTGGGCCTTTCTTCCCCATTGTTTAAACTTGGCTAGCTCCTGCTGCTTTCAGGATAAAGCAGAAGATTGAGACCATCCTGGCCATGGAGAAACCCCATCTCTACTAAAATACAAAAAGTTAGCCGGGTGTGGTGGTGCACGCCTGTTGTCCCAGCTACTCAGGAGGCTGGGACAGGGGAATCACTTGAACCCAGGAAATGGAGGTTGCAGTGAGCCTACATCGTGCCACTGCACTCCAGCCTAGTGACAGAGCAAGACTCCATCTCAAAAAAAAAAGAAAAAAAAAAAAAAAGAAAAGCTTTACAAAAAATGATAGCTTTCCTAAAATGCAATGGTGCTTTTAATTTTAAAATTTATTTTATTTTATTTATTTGTTTTTTGAGACAGAGTCTTGCTGTGTCGCCCAGGCTGGAGTGCAGTGGTGTAATCTTGGCTCACTGCAACCTCTGCCAACCAGGTTCAAGTGATTCTCCTGACTCAGTCTCCTGAAGAGGTGGGATTACAGGCACCCACCACCATACCTGGATAATTTTTGTATTTTTAGTAGAGATGGAGGTTTTGTCATATTGGCCAGGCTTCTTGAACTTCTGACCTCAAGTGATCTGAAATAACTTTTAAAAGTTATTTCAAAAAGACCTTCTTTATTCATCCAGTCTGTAGTAGATCCTTGTGCCCACATTCTGTATCTCAGCCTTTTGTTTCTGTCATAGCTCTTACTGCAATTTGTAATTGGTTTATTTGTTCCCTACAAAAGAATGCAAGAAACCATGTATGCTTGTTTATCAGTGTATCCGTAGCTCTTAACCTCATGCCTGGAACATAACTACAATATTTATTTGTTGGATGAATGAGAAACCAAATATTGTTGTTAACAGGCTTGTTTGTTTAAGATTTTCCTCTATACTAGTCTGAGTTGTACGAAGTTTATGATATGTACCTTGTTAGGGCTTTTGGGCTTAGGACTTTTTCAGATGATTAATATTCTCAAAGTTTAATATTCAAATAAAAGAAAAATAATTAAAAAGCACCACTGGGCTGGGCACGATGGCTCACACCTATATTCCTAGCATTTGGGAGGCTGAGGTGGGCAGATCACTTGAGGTCAGAAGTTCAAGAAGCCTGGCCAATATGACAAAACCCCCATCTCTACTAAAAATACAAAAATTATCCAGGTATGGTGGTGGGTGCCTGTAATCCCACCTCTTCAGGAGACGGAGTCAGGAGAATCACTTGAACCTGGTTGGCAGAGGTTGCAGTGAGCCAAGATTACACCACTGCACTCCAGCCTGGGCGACACAGCAAGACTCTGTCTCAAAAAACAAATAAATAAAATAAAATAAATTTTAAAATTAAAAGCACCATTGCATTTTAGGAAAGCTATCATTTTTTGTAAAGCTTTTCTTTTTTTTTTTTTTTCTTTTTTTTTTTTGAGATGGAGTCTTGCTCTGTCACTAGGCTGGAGTGCAGTGGCACGATGTAGGCTCACTGCAACCTCCATTTCCTGGGTTCAAGTGATTCCCCTGTCCCAGCCTCCTGAGTAGCTGGGACTACAGGCGTGCACCACCACACCCGGCTAACTTTTTGTATTTTAGTAGAGATGGGGTTTCTCCATGGCCAGGATGGTCTCAATCTTCTGACCTCGTGATCTGTCCACCTCGGCCAAAGAATTTAAGGAAACAATGTAAGTGTCCAAATTGCTGGGATTACAGGCATGAGCCACTGCACCTGGCCTCGCAAGGCATTTTCACTTAAAACGTTTGTGAAAAGCACCAGGTTTTCTCTATTGCTAAAAGTTGTTTAACATCAACTAATAGTGACTTCTTTCTTGTTTCTAATGTTGTGCGGAACAGGATGCTGAAAACGCCATTCAACAGATGGGTGGCCAGTGGCTTGGTGGAAGACAAATCAGAACTAACTGGGCAACCCGAAAGCCTCCCGCTCCAAAGAGTACATATGAGTGTAGGTGTATTGGAGAAGAAAAGGAAATGTGGAATTTTGGAGAAAAATACAATAGATTTTAAATGTTAGAGCTGTTCCCGGAGACTTATTGCAGAAATAGATGAGAAGCAAATCAAGACTACTGTTCAAAAATGTACTTAGTTTTCATTTTTGTAATTATAAATAATATTATTTCTAATGTCAAGTCTCCTATTACGTAGAAAATACTGGGTAATTTTTTAGACATTTGTTGGGGAGGTTTAATCCTGGACTGAAGTATAATATGTATAATATGAGCATTTTGATCAAGGTTAATGTTACCTTTACAGTAGTGTAGTAAATGCTGCTTTTCTCTTTCTGCACATTTTATTTAATGAATTAAAGACATAAACCTTTTCTCTCACCAGCAAATACCAAACAACTATCATATGATGAGGTTGTAAATCAGTCTAGTCCAAGCAACTGTACTGTATACTGTGGAGGTGTTACTTCTGGGCTGACAGGTACGGGAGTATTCCCTGTGTGGCATTAATATTTAAAGTGCAAAGCTTAATGCTTGTAGGATTTATTTGTAACTTAGTGTGATTTGTTTTTGTTTTTTATCTAACAGAACAACTAATGCGTCAGACTTTTTCGCCATTTGGACAAATAATGGAAATTCGAGTCTTTCCAGATAAAGGGTATTCATTTGTTCGGTAAGGATGGTTTTTTAAAAAAAATAAAACTTTTTCCTTGCTAATATAACTGGAAAATCAGAAAAGAAATAAAAATTAAAAACTTGTTCCTCCAAAATATTTTTTGAACACTTACATTGTTTTCTTAAAAATTTACCTTGGTGCCGGGCGCGGTGGCTCAAGCCTGTAATCTCAGCACTTTGGGAGGCCGAGGCGGGTGAATCACGAGGTCCAGAGATCGAGACCATCCTGGTCAACATGGTGAAACCCCGTCTCTACTAAAAAGACAAAAAATTAGCTGGGCGTGGTGGTGCATGCCTGTAATCCCAGCTACTCAGGAGGCTGAGGCAGGAGAATTGCCTGAACCCAGGAGGCAGAGGTTGCGGTGAGCCGAGATCGTGCCATTGCACTCCAGCCTGGGTAACAAGAGCGAAACTCCATCTCAAAAAAAAAAAAAAAAAATTTAACCTTGGTTATAAAGAAATCAAAATTTTGGCCGGATGCAGTGAATCACACCTGTATTCCCAGTACTTTATTAGGCCAAGGCGGGTGGATCACCTGAGGTCATGAGTTTCAGACCAGCCTGGCCAACATAATGAAACCACCCCATGTCTACTAAAACAAAAACTCACTAGGTGTGGCAGCACATGCTTGTAATCCCAGCTACTCAGGAGGCTGAGGCAGGAGTCACTTGAACCCAGGAGGTGGAGGTTGTTGCGGTGAGCCAGGATCACAACCACTGTACTCCAGCGTGGGCAACAGAGCCAGACTCCGTCTCAAAAAGAAAAAAGAAATTGCAGTTTCTCTAGCATCTAAGGTATTTGCCACTGTGATTTTTTTTTTTTTTTTTTTGAAACAGAATCTTGCTCTGTTGCCCAGGTTGGAATGCAGTGGCATGATCTCAGCTCACTGCTACCTCTACCTCCTGGGTTCAAGCAATTCTCCTGCTTCAGCCTCTTGAGTAGCTGGGATTACAGACGCATGCCACCATGCCCAACTAATCTTTGTATTTTTAGTAGAGACAGGTTTCACCATGTTGGTCAGGATGGTCTTGATCTCTTGACCTCGTGAACTGCACACCTCCCAAAGTGCTGGGATTACAGGCGTGAGCCACTGCACCTGGCCACCTCTGTGATTTTATAGCTCCCTGCTAACACGAGGCCAGCAAATACACATTCTCTATTAACACAAGTTTTCCCAGAACTACAGGATCTTTGAAAAAAAATATAGCAAAGAAAATACGCCATGTTATTGATTCTTTTATGCAAACCGATTTACCTCTGACTCACCCTCATTTTTAAAATAGGTTTTATTCCTAAATATTTAAAAGAATTTGTTTTGGTGATTCTTAATATTGTTTTCAATAGGTTCAATTCCCATGAAAGTGCAGCACATGCAATTGTTTCTGTTAATGGTACTACCATTGAAGGTCATGTTGTGAAATGCTATTGGGGCAAAGAAACACTTGATATGATAAATCCCGTGCAGCAGGTGAGAGTGTTCTTAACTTTGAGAAATAATTGTTGGACTAATAATATTATTTTAAAGTGAAGATTGTTGATAATCCTTGTTAATAAATTTCTAGCTAAAATGATAGTACATAAGGGCTGTTCCTACATGTATTATAGTTCCAGAATGGTGTTTCATGGATTGCAGTGGTGACATGATGAATGTGACTGCCTCAATTGACTCATGCTCACACAGTGGATTTTAAAATGCTCCAAGAAACCTAAAAGGGTATTAAATCTTTTTTTAATACTTGGTAGATTTATTCACATACTATTTGGAGAACTCACAAGCATGCTTGACTCAACTGAAATGAAAATAAAACTGTAAATATAGTTATGGCCTTGGCATTTTTCTTCCAGATTTTGCTGCCTTATTTTTTTTTTTCCAGGCAGCTTTAGTAGTTCAAACTTGATACCACAAAGATTTCTATGAGGAAATTGTAAATGGAGCACAGAGATGGGAGTAAGCAAATTCTAAACTATATAAGTTTCTTAAGTAAGCTGAATATAGAAATAAGTAATCATATCTTCTCTATCTAAAGGAAACAATTATGTGGATAGTATGCCAAACACTTAAACATTCTATTAAGTTTAATATTTATTATTATGGTATCAACTGATGCCTTCCAAAATTTATGCCATTCAGAGTATCACGTAGCGTTACAGCAGTCTAACCTCACCTTTTAATTTTTTTTAGCAGTCAACTCTTGTTTATCCTGTCATTTTAATTATAAGGATGGCCCTGTGTGTTTTGGCTAAGAATTTGTGGTATTAACATATTAGGATTTTATATATACAGTTAACTTCAAATAACACTAAATTTTACTTAATAGCAGAGTCAAATTGGATATCCACAACCTTATGGCCAGTGGGGCCAGTGGTATGGAAATGCACAGCAAATTGGCCAGTATATGCCTAATGGTTGGCAAGTTCCTGCATATGGAATGTATGGCCAGGCATGGAACCAGCAAGGATTTAAGTAAGCATATCTGACCTCTTCCTTTATTAACCTTTGAAAATGTCGAAAGAAATTTTAAATAGGAAGAAATTTTATGAATTAATGAGTAATAGGGCCCCTTGTGTAAAGCATAACTATAGCCTTGAAAGGACTTGTTTTTTAGTAAGAAAGTAAGAGCTTAATAGTTGTTAAGCTTTTCACATGACTAATGGTCACTTAGCCATTCTTAAATACACTGACTTTGATGCTAGTTGTTGTATTCATTATGCTTTTTTCTGTACGAAGGGTTTATTGATGTTTTGTTTTGTTTTGTTTTGTTTTGTTTGAGACAGAGTCTCACCCTGTCACCCAGGATGGAGGGCAGTAGTACAATCTTGGCTCACTGCAACCTTCCCCTCCTGGGTTCAAGCAAATCTCCTGTCTTAGCCTCCCGAGTAGATGAGATTACAGGCATGCACTGCCATGCCCAGCTGATTTTTGTATTCTTAGTAGAGATGGGGTTTCGCCAAGTTAGCCAGGCTGATCTCAAACTCCTGACCTCAGGTGATCCACCCGCCTCAACCTCCCAGTGTGCTGGGATTACAGGCATGAGCCACCACACCCAGCCTCATGTATTATTATACTACAAGCTTCCTTATACACCCTGAATTAGACTATTTTACTTACATTTCTGAAAAATACACTGGAAATAAAAATACTTAGGATGTTAAAAAAGAATTTTGTAGGCTGGGTGTTGTGGTTCACGCCTGTAATCCCAGCATTTTGGGAGGTTAAAGCTGGCAGATCACTTGAGGCCAGAAATTCAACACCAGCCTAGCCAACATGGCAAAATCCCACTACTGCTAAAAATACAAAAATTAGCCAGGTGTAGTGCTGCACACCAGTAGACCTAGCTACTTGGGAGGCTGAGGTAGGAGAATCACTTGAACCTGGGAGGCAGAGGTTGCAGTGAGCCGAGACCATGCCACTGCACTCCAGCCTTTGCAACAGAGCAAGATTCTGTCTCAGAAAAAAAAAAAAAAAAAAAGATTTGTGTTGTTGGGCACAGTGGCTCATGCCTGTAATCCTAGCACTTTGGAAGGCCAAGGCAGGTGGATCTCTTGAGTCCAGGAGTTCGAGACCAACCTGTGCAACATGGTGAAATCTCATCTCTACAAAAAGTACAAAAGAATATTGGCCAGGTATGATGGTGCGTGCCTATAGTCCTAGCTATTAGGGAGATTGAGGTAGGAGAATTGCTTGAGCCTGGGGAGATGGAGGTTGCAGTGAGCAGAGATCATACCGCTATACTTTAGCCTGGATGACAGAATGAGAACCTGTCTCAAACAAAAAAATCTGGTAATGTTGAGAATTTTTACGAGCTTACATATGCTAATGATTGCTTTCATTTCTTCTTTGAGTAATATAAATGTTGGTTCTTTTATCATTGTGGGAAACCTACCTGGCTCTTCCAGGGTAGCGGCTTACTCAACAAATAGTGTTCAACCAAGATAGAGATGGACAGTTTTCTTTTCCAAGAGTAGTGGCATTGGGTTTTTCTATATTCAAAGGAGATGAATGTTTATATGTTCAGGATATTTTCTTAGCTTTAATTTCTAATAAAATTAAACTGCCCAAATTAAACTTAGAGGGATGCTTGATTTTTTTTTATTTTTTCTTTTTATTTATTTATTTTATTTCATTTTATTTTTGAAACAGAGTCTCATTCTGTTGCCCAGGCTGGAGTGCAGTGGCTCAATCTCAGCTCACCGTAACCTCCACCTCCCGGGTTCAAGCAGTTCTCCTGCCTCAGCCTCCTGAGTAGCTGGGGTTACAGGTACATGCTACCACACCTGGCTAATTTTTGTATTTTTAAGTAGAGATAAGAGTTTCATCATGTTGATCAGGCTGATCTCGAACCCCTGACCTGGTGATCCACCCACCTCAGTCTCCCAAAGTGCTGGGGTTACAGGTGTGAGCCACCATGACCGGCTAGGATGCTTGATTTTAAGAGGAAAATACTAGGCTGGGCGTGGTGGCTCATGCCTGTAATCCCAACACTTTGGAAGGCCTAGGTGGGCGGATCACCTGAGGTCAGGAGTTTGAGACCAGCCTGATCAACATGGAGAAACCATGTCTCTACTAAAAATATAAAAGTTAGCCAGGCATGGTGACACATGCCTGTAATCCCAGCTGCTCGGGAGGCTAAAGCAGGACTATCGCTTGAACCCAGGAGGTGGAGGTTGCAGTGAGCTGAGATTTTGCCGTTGCACTCTACCCTAGGCAACAAGAGTGAAACTCTGTCTCAAAAAAAACCAGAAAATTAGCAGGGTATGGTGGCATGCACCTGTAATACCAGCTACTCAGGAGGCTGAGGCAGGAGAATTGCTTGAACCTGGGAGCTGGAGGTTGCAATGAGTTTAGCCTGCGGGGCACAGCGAGACTCTGTCTCCAAAAAAGCTTTAAAAAAGGAAAAAAACTTTAGTAAAAGCTTTCATTTTCTCTGGCATAAGTTATTCTATTTGGGTTTTTTAAAAAGTATGTTTCCCATTTCCCGTATTTTTTCTTGCCAGTACATTCTTTTAATCAATGGATTTCCTCTCCCCTCTGCTTCTTTCACATTCTCCACCAGTCAGACACAGTCTTCTGCACCGTGGATGGGACCAAATTATGGAGTGCAACCGCCTCAAGGGCAAAATGGCAGCATGTTGCCTAATCAGCCTTCCGGGTATCGAGTGGCAGGGTATGAAACCCAGTGAAAAAAGACTCCAGAATCTAAAGCCAGTGGCTTGAGGCTACAGGGAGTGTAGTAAAGCCGTTGTTTACTTAAAGATTTATCAAATCAGTCAGTGCAAATGTCAGATACAATGTATTTATTTAAAAGATTCATTTTTAATCATGAAATTACTTATCATCCACATTGTTTTAAAAAGAAACAAGATGCTGGATGTCTGCCAATTTTTGCCTTCATTACCTTTTTTGATAAAGTTTCTCAGATCCTTGTTTCAAACACAAATGCAGGGATTGCTGCCACTTTTTAAATATTAAGAGGCAGAAAATTGCACAATATTGAACTTTTTTCCACTAAAGTAGTGTGCAGTTCTAGTTTGCATTCCTGATATGATTTAAAACATGTAATATAAAGACGCTAAAAAAAAAAAAAAAACCAAAACTGTGCAGAGTCTAGAAGTTCTTTGTAATCTTCAGCTTATGCACAATTCTGTTTTAGGTTTTTTAAAAAAAAAGGCATTGGTTGAGCTGTCCCATCTCCGCTGTTATACTTTTGGGGTTTTTTAATATAAATTATTAGTTTACATCATTTTTGTATCTACATCTTTTTCACAAATTTGTCTTGCCTTATTAAAGTTCTGTAAAGTATACTTAAATGAGAAAATGATGTTCATTTAGATTGAAAACTTTTCTCAGATGGATTGATAATTGCATTCATCTTGTGTTTTATATAAGAAGGTGCCTCAAGAATTCTCTGTTGGATTTGTTTAAAAGGATTTTTATCTTCTGTGATAAACTTTGCTGTGTACCAGGAACTATAAAAACAAAAACTTGTTACTAAAGAAAATATCTGAAATGTGATAAGTTCTTATGCCATGTTAATTTCATGTGTCAACTTCAACATTTACATGTATTATTTCATTATGTAAAATGTTTTAGCAACTTAATATTTTCCACAGTTAGCAAACTTGTATGTCATTTCCTTCAAGGCATTATGCAGAGTTGACATGAGATTTATAAGGTTTTAAGTTGTTTGCATGTGAAAATCAAATACATACTTTGGTAGTCTTTGAATACAAAGTCATCTGCTCTTGTTTTTCAAGAATTTTGAGATACAAAGTAGTATGCAAAGAAATATATTAATTTGCCATTATCTAGGTAGATTTACTCAAAAAGAGTGAATCAACTTAGTATGTACAAATGATAGCTGTGAAACTGTCTTTGTGTCAGGCATGGGGTTCATTGTGACCTCCAAATTTTGTCTGAAGGACCAGCTGGGCAAAGTGTTTTTTAAATGTTCAGAGGCCAAAAGATTTAAAAAAAAAAACTTTAAAATCCTACCTCCTTAAACAGCCTTCAAAGAAGAAAATCCTCAGTGCAATCATTATTTTGATTCTTTTGGTACCTGTTTTCCTTGAATTTCCAATTTTATTATTTTGGGGTGCTCCAAGCATTAAGAGGTTTAATCTTTGATGGCATTGTTCTAGTTTTGAAATTTCAAGCATATTTCAGAGTCTCTTAGAAGACTTGTGTGGGAAGTTTCACTTTGTTTTCACTGAAGGTCACAAACCTTCTTCTTTGACTCAGAGAGGAAAGGTGCCAGTATACACATTCGAATAATTGATGGTTTTCAAGACCTTCAAAGAGCTTCCAGCATTTTACCTAAAAACAGAAAAGGCCTGCAAAGTCTTAAGTTTCCTGGCCTGCATTTCCCAGGTAGGGGCAAATGACTCTAAGCTGGTCTCTAGGCCAATACCCTGGTAAACCAGAGCCCAGGAAGACAGCTCAAGTGTTTAATTCTCTGGGAGCTCAATTCTATGCAGTTGTGCTATTTCATTAAGTCACTGTGTATTTTTAAGTGTTGATACATTAAAAGTCGCTTTATGGAAGATGAGTAAATTTTTTAAATACTTGGAAATTTTATTTCCTTGTTAATATCTACAGATCAGGGCATGTAACCAAAAGCAGCTTAAATGAAATATCAGGAAGCTATTTTTAGATTTCTTCTGGCATATGTTTCTATTTTAGGACCCTCATTTTTCTCTTATTAAAAAAAAAATTATTTCCTGTACATCTCATGGACTGCAGGGTAAATTATTTGGGCATAAATAATTTAAACAGAAGTATAGTTTTCTTTCATTTTGACTGTCTCCACTAATAACAGTTTTTATTAGGCAGTGTATTTGGTTATTGCACAAATCTTAAAAATGTACATCAAGTACTTTTTGAGGAGAAAGTGGTATCAGTACTCATGAAAAGGTTACTACTGAACAGATTCACATTTTAGGAACACCTGTCTTTAGTTCAAATCTTACTCTTAGTTTTCAGTCTAAAAATCATACCAGTATTATAGTATCAGGTAAGGAAATTAAAGTTTTTTTAAATGGTTTCATTCTCTGCAATATGCAAATTCAGATTTTACTTTCTGGTACTGTAAAGAACTTGAAGTGATTCACACTTAATGGGTATTAATCCAGTATTCTTTTCCCTGACTGTTTGGATATTAAAGTTCCTTTATGTTTTCTATAACCTGTGGGATCTTCTTGCAGTGATTATTGTGTGAGATTTTTTTTCTTTTTGGTCTAGCCGTGTTGTTATATTCACTCAGGTATTTGTTAATTTTTCAGAATCTTATTTCGGAATCAGTGGTTTACATTGGGTTACTGTTTAACACCAAATGGAATTGGCATTCTGCAGATTTAATTAATTATGAAACCAGGGTCTCATTTTCCTTGCTGATACTTGTTGAAAATGTGAATCACATTCTAGTCTTTATTTTCTTCGTGTTTGTCCCTGTGCTTCCTCATCTTCCTTTTATTTATGTGTTAACAGTTTTACTCCGTTTGAGAAGGCAGTTGTTAAGAACTAGATTGCATGTACAATGACAGGTTTACTAAGTACTCTGCAGTGCTCATGAGGCTACAGTTGAATTAGAAAAACAAAATGTACTTATAGGAATAAGAAAGCAAATCTTTCAAATGAGAGTGATGATTTCTTTTCTTTTTTTCTTTTTTGAGACGGAGTGTCTGTTGCCCAGGCTGGAGTGCAGTGGCACTAGGCACTATATTGGCTCACTGCAACCTCTGCCTCCTGGGCTCAAGCAATTCTCCTGCCTCAGCCTCCCGAGTAGCTGAGACTACAGGCACACAACATCACACCTGGCTAATTTTTGTCATTTTAGTAGAGACAGGGTTTCACTTAGCTGGTCTCAAACCCCCAACCTCAGGTGATCCACCTGCCTCCATCTCCCAAAGTGCTGGTATTACAGGCGTGAGCTACTGCGCCCAGCCTGAGAGTGATGATTTCTTAAAAACAAGAAAAAAAGAAAAAAAAAAAAAGCTGGCCCCGCCCACCCACCCCCAACCTGCTCCCAGGCTGGGTCCACTTAAAAAAAATTATTTTTCTTTCTTAAATGTTCTTTATTTCACGAAATCATGAGTCTTAAGCATGAGCAGGAATAAACCCGGAAGGAACTCAATTCATTCTTCCTGGATTTTTACTGTGTGTTCAAATCACAAAAATGATACTCCCCAATCATTTCTTTATAGGAGATTATTACATTTTATTATAGTCACTGCATTTTGACTGTTGTGCTTAGAATTTGAAGAATGTACATCCAAATTGATGAATTTTAATTTAAGAACCTTAATAAAATGTGTGAGTGTATCTCAATTAAATAGGGTTTTCTCCCTTCATTTGGAGACCTTAATTCATATTAACCTACAGGTGTCAGTGGTCAATGGTAGCAGTTCTTTTATTTTTTTATTTTTTATTGTTTAATGAGACAGAGTCTCTCTCTCTCTGTCACTTAGGCTGAAGTGCAGTGGAACAATCTCAGCTCACTGCTGCCTCCACCTCCTGGGTTCAAGTGATTCTCCTTCCTCAGCCTCTCTAGTAGTTGGGACTATAGGTATGCGCCACTACACCCAGCTAATTTTTGTATTTTTTTCGTAGAAGACGGGGTTTTGCCATGTTGCCCACGCTGGTCTGGTCTCTACTTCTGGCCTCAAGTAATCCACCTGCCTCAGCCTCCCAAAGTGCTGGGATTACAGATGTGAGCCCTTCGCCCAGCTGAATTTTTGTGTTTATAGTAAAGATAGGTTTTCCCCAGGTTGGCTAGGCTGGTCTCCCCACCTCAGGTGATCCACCTGCCTCAGCCTCCCAAAGTGCCGAGATTGCAGAAGAGAGCCACTAGGCCCAGCCAATGGTAGCATTCCTTTAGTGTCTTGCAGTTAGAAATTTCTGCTCACTCAAATGGCTGTTTGCAGCACTAGATTCAGAGAGGAGATTTTGCGAAGATTGACCAGTAATTAATTACACTGTGGCTCCTGAAGCTGAAGGGTAAAATTACTGAGATAGTAAATGCAACTTTAAAAAGGAAAAAGAAGGCCGGGCGCGGTAGCTCAAGCCTGTAATCCCAGCACTTTGGGAGGCCAAGGCGGGTGGATCACGAGGTCCAGAGATCGAGACCATCCTGGTCAACAAGGTGAAACCCCGTCTCTACTAAAAATACAAAACATTAGCTGGGCGTTGTGGCGCGTGCCTGTAATCCCAGCTACTCAGGAGGCTGAGGCAGGAGAATTGCCTGAACCCAGGAGTCGGAGGTTGCGGTGAGCCGAGATCGCGCCATTGCACTCCAGCCTGGGTAACGAGAGCGAAACTCCGTCTCAAAAAAGAAAAGGAAAAAGAAAATTTCTTTACTCGGTGATACTGTTCAGAAAATAGAGGTTACGTACAACTTTGTATAATACATAAATAAGATCCTTAGCTATTTATTCTTGTTCAGCTCTAGAATGTCAACAGCCAGACTTATGCCCACCAGGAAGGATGTTGGAGGAGCCTTCTGTGGAAAAACTAAGTGACTCCTGAGAGATGGCAGTTACATTGGCGAGCACCCACCAAAAAAGCCAACTGGCCACCAGTCCCTCTACAGCCAGTCACTAAGGCCTGCTTATGTACACAAATCTTGCAGACGGGTTTTTAGTGCTTCACTTTTATATGGGATGGGAAAATACCACTAGAAATTTGAGGAAACCTTTGATTGTGAAAGGTAGCTCTAAACAAAAAGTAACTCAATTAGAAAATTTCCAGGAACTGGAATATCCCCACATAAGAGAAGATGCTGTATTCAAGAAATTTTGATGGCTGGCCACAGTGGCTCACGCCTGTAATCCCAGCACTCTGGGAGGCTGAGGCAGGTTAATCACAAGATCAAAAGGTTGAGACCGTCCTAGCCAACATGGTGAAAGCCTGTCTCTACTAAAAATACAAAAATTAGCTGGGCGTGGTGGCACGCACCTCTAGTCCCAGCTACTCAGGAGGTAAGGCAGGAGAATGGCTTGAACCTGGGAGGCAGAGGTTGCAGTGAGCTGAGATCGCGCCACTGCACTGCAGCCTGGTGTCAGAGCAAGACTTCATCTCAAAAGTTATGGGCCGAGTGCAGTAGCTCACGCCTGTAATTCCAGCACTTTGGGCGGCCGAGGTGAGCAGATCACGAGCTCAGATGTTCGAGACCAGCCTGGCCAACATGGTGAAATCCCATCTCTACTAAAAAAAAAATTAGCTAGGCGTAGTGGAGTGTGCCCATAATCCCAGCTAGTCAGGAGGCTGAGGCAGGAGAATCACTTGAACCCAGGAGGCAGAGGTTGCAATGAGTTGAGATCGCGCCACTGCACTCCAGCCTGGGCAACAGAGCAAGACTCCATCTCAAAAAAGAAAAAAGAAATTAGGACCAGGTGCAATGGCTTACACCTGTAATCCCAGCACTTTGGGAGGCCAAAGCAGGCAGATACCTGAGATTAGAGTTTGAAACCAGCCTGGCCAACACGGTAAAACTCCATCTCTACTAAAAATACAGAATTAGCCAGGCAGGGTGGTACGTGCCTGTAATCCCAGCTACTCAGGAGGCTAAGGCAGGATAATCACCTGAACCCAGGAGGCGGAGGTTACAGTGAGCCAAGATCGCATCACTGCACTGCAGCTTGGGCAGCAAGAGCGAAATTCTGTCTCAAAAACACAAAAATACAAAATTAGCCGGGTATGGCAGTGCAAGCCTGTAACCCCAGCTACTTGAGAGGCTGGGGCAGAAGAATCGCTTGAACCCAGGAAGCAGTGGTTGCAGTGAGCTGAGATGGGGCCACTGCACTCCAACCTGGGCAACAGAGCGAGACTCGGTCTCAAAAAACAAACCAACAAACAAAAAGAATTTAGAAGGCCGAATACAGCGACTCAGGCCTATAATCCCCAACAATTTGGGAGGCCAAGGTGGGAGGATTGTTTGAGCCCAGGAGTTTGAGATCAGCCTGGGCAACATAGCAAGACCTAATGTCTACAAAAAATAAAATTACACCTTTAATTCCAGCATTTTGGGAAGCTGAAGCAGGTGGATCACCTGAGGTCAGGAGTTCAAAACCAGCCTGGTCAACATGGCGAAACCCCATCTCTACTAAAAATACAAAAATTATCTGGGCATGGTGGCACGTTCTTGTAATCCTAGCTACTCAGAGGCTGAGGCACAAAAATCAAACTCGGGAGACTGAGGGTGCTGAGAGCAGAGATCATCCCAGTGTACTCTATCCTGAGTAACAGAATGAAACTCTCAAAAAAAAAATAAGTAGTTAAATAAAATAGGGCCGGGCATGGTGGCTCACTTCTGTAATCTCAGCACTTTGGGAGGCCAAGTCAGGTGGATCACCCACCTGAGGCGAGGAGTCCAAGACCAGCCTGGCCGACATAGGGAAATCCCGTCTCTACTAAAAATGCAAAAATTTGCCAAGCACAGTGACTCACACCTGTAATCACAGCACTTTGGGAGGCCAAGATGGTGGATCACAAGGTCAGGAGTTCCAGACCAGCTTGGCCAACATGGTGAAACCCCATCTCTACTAAAAATACAAAAATTAGCCAGGCACAGTGGCAGGCACCTGTAGTCCCAGCTACTCAGAAGGGTGAAGCACAGAATATAGCTTGAACCCAGGAGGCGGAGGTTGCAGTGAGCCAAAATTGTGCCACTGCACTCTAGCCTGGTCAACATAGTGGGACGGTCTCCAAACGAATAAAGCAAAAATTAGCCAGGTGTGGTGGCGTATGCCTGTAATTCCAGCTACTTGGGAGGCTGAGGCATGAGAGTCACTTGAACCCAGGAGACAGAGGTTTCAGTGAGCCAAGGTAGTGCTACCACGCTCCTGCCTAGGTGATAGAGCAAGACCCTGTCTCAAAAAAAAAAAAAAACAATAGAGCAGGATAGTAGTAAAATACCAGAAAAAAAAAATTTAAATGTGAATTAATTCATTGAAAATACTAAAAGATAAGGAACTGTTTTAGAGCATAAATCAAAAGTGAAGGGAGAAAATTAAGTTGGCTCAAAAAATACAGGAGGTTTAATAAGCAACCAACAGGAATCTCAGGAAAAGAACTGAGAAAATAGAGTGGGTAGAATTTATTTTATTTTTATTTGTTTATTTTTTAGATGGAGTCTCGCACTGTCATCCAGGCTGTAATGCAGTGGCGAAATCTTGGCTCACTGCAAT